CCACAACCCCCCCCCCCCCCCCCCCCCCCCCCCGCCAATGTATTGCTCTTATGGTGCACCTCATACTTCCCGCTCACTCATTCTTGGTTTCCTCATTGGACTCCTCTCAGTTCATTATGTCAATGTGAGTGCTCCAGCCCCTTCACGCCTCATTGCACATGTTCTCTTTTGAGAAGCACAGTCATAGCCATGATTTCGGATATGTCTGTCTGCTAAACAGCAACGGTTGGATTTCCCATGTGCATCTTAAAATCAACACATCCAAAAACAAACCCACCATCTTCCCCCACAAAATCTCTTCTTTCTTCTCTTTTCCCTATTTCTGTGAGTGATACCACCATTCTCCCAGCTGCCCAAGCCAAAAGCCAGGGCGTCTTCCTCGCCTCCTTCCTTTCTCTCCCTCCCTACCTCAGTTTGATCAGAAGCCGGCCAGTTCTGTGCAGGAACTGCTCCTCATCTCTCCAGGCCCACTGCACCTTCAGCCTTCCTCTGCGGGACCCTGAGACAGTGTCCTAACCCGTGTCCCTTCCCCGGCTCCTCACCCATCAAATTCATCTTTCTGAACAGAAAAGCCAGTCATGGCATCATTCCACTGCTTAAAGCCCTCTTGACTTCTCATTAAGGTCAGAATTAAAATAAAACCACTTACCACATACATCGGAACCTTCAAATTAGAATCTGACCACCTACATCCCTCCCCAAACTCATCCCTTGCTAATCCTCAAAACACACTGAACGCCCCGGCCACACCAAGCCATGTACAGTTCCCCCAAATGGGCTGTGCTTTGTCACTTACAGCTTGGGTTTCCCAGGGCACTGGTTCCTGTGGAGATTCTTTCCTCTGTATCGAAGACCTCCCTGCCCCCATCACCTCTGCCCCAGATAACCCCAGCTCATGCTTCTTCAAGACCAGGCTTCTCCTTGGGGAAGCTCATCTCTTGTCCTTCCCAGGGGGGCCCATAAAACCCTGTGTTGTAATATTCTCCTGTATCGCAGGGACTATGTTCCGCTCTGTGTGTATAAAATGCCTGCCACACAGCCTGGTACACAGCATGTGCTCAGTAAATTCCCATTCCTTTAAAAGCTGATAAAATGATTTCTAGTTCTTCTACTTAACATGTGAATTTTCTGATAACGTGCTAACACTTTTGAGCCAGGGTTTCCTCTTCCAGAGAATGATGATGATAACTCCACCAAGAATTATCATCATAGGAAAGTAGGGAATGCAGGAAAGTAGGGAATGCAGGTTACCTCATTCAGAACAAATGCCCCAAAAGTGTGAACACCCTTTTTTTCTTGCTCCAAACTCGACTTAGACTTAACTTTTCAGGAATGGCTGCCTTTCTGTGGGTGGCAGAGGCCACCGTAGCTTCAGCTGGATGAATGCTGATTGGCTGAACACTCCTGGATTCCATCCGGCATGTAGGTGCTTAGAAGTCACCACTCTGCCCTAACAAAAGTAAAAAGCTGAACAAACTGAAAAATCCACAATTCTCAGGTATGTTAGAGGAGTGAGGCCACAAGGCAAACCACTGCACCAAAAGTCTGGCAATAAGGCAGACTCAGAGAATCACACCTTATGGGAACAGAAACCCACAAACAAGAATCTCCACAGGAACCAGGGCCCTGGGAAATCCAAGCTGTAATTGACAAACTGCCAGAGGCTCCTATAGGCAGTTCTGAGAGTTGAAAACTCCAGGAGGCCCAGGTAGAGAGGTCCCGCACACTCTGTGAGTTTCACCTCCAGGAACTTGACCAGGTCCCCACAGTGTCAGAGAGAAATCACCTTGTGCTTCAGGCAGCGGGAGGGAGAGAGGAACCTTTTTCACATACTCAGAGCACTCTCTCCTTCCTAACAAGGGCTGCTCTCAGGAGAAACTGTACCCAGGACCTCAGCTGCTGGGCTTTCATCGGAGCCTAACCACCTAGGAGAAAGGAAATACCAACTCCCACCACCTCCAGCCATTCTGCTCCCCCTCCCCGCCCCTCCCCCCCACTTTCAGGAGGAGAAACTAAGAAGCCCTGGTGAGGCTCACCAGGAGGCTGAGACCTAATCCCAGGACTGCATGCCCTTCATAGAGCACTTCCCATCCTCCCCACACCTTCCCACCACACGACTAAAACTTATTTACTGCAGTGCCTTTTACTTAGTACATCGTGTCCAGTTTCCAACAAAAAATTACAAGACATATTTAGACATGAAAGCACAGTCTGAAGAGACTGAACCAGCATCAGAACAAGAGCCAGATATTCAACTTATCCGAAAAGGAGTTTCGTTTTGTTTTTAATAAACTTTGGTTAATATGCTAAGGGCTTAGATGGAAAAAGTAGACAAGATACAAGAACAGGTGGATAATGTAAGTAGAGAGATGGAAATTCTAAAAAGCATCAACAAGACATGCTAAGGATAAAAAACACCAGCAGAAATGAAGAATGCCTTTGATGGGCTCATGAATGGACTGGAAATGGCTGAGGAAAGAACCTCGGAGCATGAAGATATGACAATAGAAACTCCCAAAACTGAAAGGCAAAGAGAAAAAAAAGGCTGGGAGAAAAAAAAGAACAGCGTATTCAAGAAATGTGGGACAATGACAAAGGGTATAATATACCTGTAATGGGATTACTGTGAGAGGAAGAAAGAAAGAGAAGAAATATTTGAAGTAATAATAACTGAGAATTTCCCCAAAATTAATGTCAGATACCAACCCACAGATATAGGAAGCTGAAAGAACACTAAATAGGATAAACATTTTTAAAATTACACCTAGGCATATCATATTCAAACTGCAGTAAGTCAACGAAAAGAAGCCAGAGGAAAAAAAAATTTGCTTTTCTATAGAGAAGGAGAAATAAACACTTTCTCAGACAAAAATTTGTTGCCTTGTAAGAACTGTTTAAAGAAATTCTTTAGAGGCCAGAATTCAGATCTACATAAAGAAAGGAAGAGTACCAGAGAATGTATAAGTGAAAGTAAAAAAAAACTTTTATTTTTCTCATTCTTAATTGCTCTAACAGGCCGCAGTTTGTTCAAAACAGTCATAGCAACAATATACTTGATACTGTGTGCTAAGTATAAGTGAAATGAGTGACAGTTATGATGCAAGGGACAGGAGGGAGGAATTAGGAATGTTTTGTTATTAACATAAAGGGCCAGAGAAAGATACGCCATGCTAACACTCATCAAAAGATAGCAGGAGTAACTAT